ACCTTTGATTTCTTTTAGATTCGTAATATATATTTTTTTTCATAGACACTTTTTAAGAGGTGATTTCGATATATATAATTGTACTCCTTGTGCGCACGAAGTCGTCCTTCAACCTTTGATTTCTTTTAGATTCGTAACAAACTTTGTTTGTCATTCCACAGGTCCCCCCCCCCCCCCCAATTTGACCCTGATGTTTGTTGGACATTTTTTTCACAAATTATATTCATTACACTTATTCATCATGTGTACCATAGGAAAAAATCGTGAAAACCCCAAAATAATCGTTTCACACAAAAAATGCCTCACTATACATTATAAGAGAGAAAGGTATACCACCCCGGTTTGTTTACGTTGTACCCCCACCGGTCTTTCTGGGTTTAAAAACATGTATTTATTTTATTTTGACTTAAAATGTCGGTTCACTCTGTCTCTACATATATTTCTGTCTTAGTTCATGCTATTGGATTGACTCTGCATCTCGTAAGAATCCCACAATTTCTCCTTAAACAGCAACTGAGCCAATTTAAATCAAAATTTTCACAAAACATCCTTGAGTAATGGGGATTCAAGTTTCTTTAATTGAGGGGTCCGACCTCTTTCAAAGGGACATAATAAAGGATAAGTGAAAATTTACTGGCATCGTGTAAGGTATCCGACTCATAAATGATCTAATTTTCTAACCATCAAAAATGTAACCTGAGCGGTAACTCATCAGATAAGATTGCACTTAGGTCTATGGGGACTAACAAATTTTTGAAAATAAGAATCGAAATACTAAGAATATCAAAAGCTGTTATGGAGAGATGTATTTAATCAATAGGAATAGAAAAACGATTGAAAACTATTTTTAACCAGATATTTTTAAGAATTATTGATTTTCATTGATTAAAAGCTAAGGAGAATAACTCTTCAAGGGCAGAACAAGGAATCTGAGGCTATTATAAGTCGGATACCTTAATTATATACTTCTAAAAACCACTGAGTCAGAGAAGATGAAACTTATGTGAAGGCTTCATTACATAGTGTAGATTCAAGTTTGTTCAAATCATGTCCCCCAGAGGTAAGGTAGTGCCACAATGCACGATCAAAGATTTACATATGTATACACTGTACATAGGAAAATATTTAGAAAAATCTTCTTCCGAAGAACATCAAGGCCAGGATTATTCATATTAATGTGGAAGCTTCCGCAGGTACTATTGTAATTTTTTTTCATGAACCCTAGGGTGTAGGGTAGGGCCACAGTGGATGTTCAAAGTTTTTCCTTTTTCACTAAAAACACAGGAAAAATCTTTAAAAAAATCTCTTCTCTAGAATAGCTAAACCATGATAAGTCATATTTATATGGAAGCATCCTGAGGTAGTATAGATGCAAGTTTATTCAAATTAAGTTAACATGTATCATGTCATGACCCCCGGAGATAGCGTTGGGCCATAATTGGCAATCAAATAGGATGACATAGAAAAAATTTGAAAATCTGCTTTTCAAGAACAATAACCTATGATTAGTCCTATATTCAGGTAGTGTAGATTATAGTTATTTCAAATCATGACCCCCGTGGGTAGTGTGAGGCCACAATGGGCGATCAAAGTTTAACAAGGGAATGCACGGGGAAAATCTTTAAAATTCTTGTTCTCAAGAATAAGTCATGATTAGTTATACGATCAATTTTTTATCCGTAAAAGCTACTAACAAATAAGTAAATACAAACGTTGTGTCGTATTTTTCTGACATGTTTCAAATCATTTGTTAGGTCATTGATTTAATACTTAATTTGACTATGGAGTACTCCGTCTACATGATCAATACATAGGTGTATGAGCGGTCGACAAAGAATGCTTACTCCTCCTAGGCACCTGATCCTACCTGTCGTGTTTCCAGGGGTCCGTGTTTTTGCCCTGTTCACGATTCATTTTGTTTACTAGATTTATGAGATCGATCACTGATCGGTATCTTCACCTTTTGCATTATATTTATACAGAAGCATCCTCGAATTGTTTAGATTCAAGTTAGTTCAAATCATGACCTCTGGGGGTAGGCTGGGGTCACCATGGGCGATTAAAGTTTTGCATAGCAATAGAAAGGAGAGAAATCTTCTTAAGAACAGCAAGGCCATAATTAGTCTTAAATGGAAGCATCCTCGGGTAGTATAGATTTAAGTTTGATCAAATTATGAGCCCTGGGGTAGGTGGGGCCATAATATATGATCAGAGTTTTACCTGGGAATACGAAGGTTGATCCACAGGTTATGTCACAATTGTCATATAATCTTTAACAATCGAAACTTATCAACAAAATTTTATGCATTAATACCTCTATTTATTGTAACTTTAGTCTCAAATTTTCATTCATATACAGGTATATGCACTACTTTTTAAAATTTTAGAATAAACACAAAGTGAGGTCTCTTCTACGCCGCAAAGCACTCATTTTCTGTTCATCCATAAATCTTTTAAATCTCTCACATATATGTTTTATTTCCGGTACACTTCAAACATGAAATAATTTTTGAAAATACAACTCAAACAAGTCGCTTTATTGCAAAATGGCATAAATGTTATGAAAAAGAAGCCTGTGTGAGTTTAAAAGATTTACAGATAAACTGAAAATGAGTGCGGAAAAGTAACGTCATAACAACATCGGTAACATTCTTGCCGTACAGCGATAAACAAAACCTAACGTTGTGTTTATCTTAATATTTAATTACTTTAAAAAAATTATGATTGTACACACAAATACTCTGAAGTAGATACAATAAAAAAAAGAAGCTTGAGTTTCTGATTGACAATATATGTAGTTTTGGAGATCAGGTTCTCCAACAATTTGTCGGAATTCCCATTGGTACTAAATGCGCCCCGTTATTTGCAGACCTATTTTGTATGAAGTATTATATAGTTAAATTTTTATGCATGAGAAGAAGACACTTGCTGTAGCCTTCAACTCGACACTTACATATATCGATGACTTATTATCAATTAACAATACATGTAGTTACTTCCATTCATATGTCGACTCGATATGAACTTGAAATAAAAGATACCACCTCTGTTTCATATTTGGATAATTTACTAGAAAACAAAACTTTGTGATAAACGTGATGACTTTAACTTTTCTATCGACAGATTCCCTTACTAATCTAGCAATATACCCTTATCACCTGCATACGGGGTTTATGTCTCCCTGTTGATTTGATAGCTGATACGCAAGAGCATGCTCCACTAACGAACAATTTCTAAAACGGGGCAAGCTATTTGATAAAGTTGATGAAACAATTATATCAACAGTCTCGTTTAATGTCACCATTTCGCAAGTTATATGGTCGATACCATGACCTTGTCAGCAAATATAATCTATCATGAGGTTGAATGTTGACTGGCGTTTTTCATAGTAATTGTTAGGCCATAATTTAACACTGAATTGTCTACGGATTTTTTCGTTTGCCCGAATAGGACAATGAGCACAGGCGGGTGTGACAGGTCCACAGGGGATGCTTACTCCTCAATGGCACCTGATCCAACCTCTGATGTTTTAGAGGTCCGTGTTTGCTCTGCTCCCGATTTGTATAGCTTCAAATGACTTTTGAGCTTGGTTACTGTTCGTTTTCTCCATATTTCAAGTTTAAGTTGAAATATCTTTTAAATATAATTCTAGTATTGCAGTGGTGCACTGTTCAACTACAGATTAATCATTTTCAAAAACTTAAATACGTGTCTATAAACAATAATCTATCATGTCTGTTCTTAGAATTTTAACACACTTTTTATCTTAGAAAAGTGATTTTACTTTTCTATATTTTTTTTTATGAAGAATTGTTTGTTGCACAATCAAATAATTTCAAGGAATAAACATTGTTGAAATTAATGAAAATAGTCATTCCATGGTTTGATTGAATTACTATTTTTCACACTGGATTTGATATAAAAATATCTTGCTCAAATTTGAAATAAAGTTGTGCATTAAAAAATTCTCTGACTAGTCACTAGAGTGACCTTGAATTGTGATTTGTGACCTACAATAATACTTTTATCACGTATCATAAGCTCAGAGGGGACCAAAACTACACGTAATTTGGTTATCGTGATGGATACATACATGTATTTACATCTATATTTTTATAGTTTGTATGGTAAAGCTGTGAAGTAAAAAAGTAAACACGAGGAATAAGTATTAATTTCTTATATTTATAAGGATGATAACCAATCTGGGTCCTAATGCTAATTTCCAGGGCTGTTATCACCTCACCAACATGTAAAACCAATATGATTGAATAAACAAGCAAAGAAGAACACTTGAAGTCATTAAGTATATCGTTTTTAATTTTTGTACATAAACGTAGACCTTAAAATCATGAGAGAGAGAGAGAGAGAGAGAGAGAAATATCGTGATATATTGTTAAATCATTAAAAGTGTGCATGTTGAATTGTTAGTAAGTGTATTCTGCTTGACAGAGTATTATCTTGTTAAAACTCAAGGGACTACAGAAATAGTTCTCATATGGAAACAAATGAATAATAATCTAGTTTAATTGAAAGCTTGAATGAAAATATCTCTAAAATTTACCTTTTTTTCCTCTACAGAAATTTGAATTGTAGTATTACAGCACAGCGATGTAAATTTAATCACGTCATCAACGTTTTGAGGTTTTGAAAAAAAACGTCGACAAATTCTGATTGAATCTGATTGTTAATAATAAATGAATGTCGTCTTTACTTGGTGTTTCACAGACACTATGGATCGATGTCTTACATGGCACTCTATTGCTATACAGTATACTCCTTATTTCTGAGCGAAAGGACGATACCACACAGATTTCAGGGGCGCCACATTCATTTGAAAACGAGAATAATATATAACCTTTAACATGATATAACATATAAAGGTATATTAAAAAATATTAAGTATTGTTCAAAGAGTGTTAATATTTTTCAAACCAAAATATAGATTTATATTTTATTTTGCAAAGCACACAAATAAGATCACCCCTAGGTTTAGACTAAACCGGAAGGAACATGTTCATTGCCGATTGATACCTGGAATATTGAACGATTCTCACTAAAATCGAGATTATCCAAACAAATTTTCTTACGAGAGACTGCACTACACAGCTTCAGATACACGCTGGACATCAAGCCGATAAAACCGGTATCATGAGGTCTCCACTTTTTGCTGTATGCTTCTGTCTTTATTCGCTCTATGGTAAGTTTATATATTTCTTTTATCTGAATAAACACCACAATTTCTCAATTATATTAATACAGGTGCAATCATCAAATTTTTAAAGTTTGTACTTAACAGATTGTGTACAAATTAATTTTTTTTCGCTCTGAAATTGTAATTTTTAATTTTATATGGATTTGAAGATGTGTGCGATATTTAAAGCATTTCTTTCGTTTTCAATCAGAATCTAAAGCATCACCACAAATATTATTCCAGTTTTAAATATGAGTAGCATTCAATCTTTAACATATAATGAGGGTTGATGATGCACATGGTTAAGTCGTCAAAATTAGAAATTTATTTCTGCAATACTATTTTAACATCCATATACACACAGATACATATAAACCTTTAGAGGAAAAAAAACTTATCAGATAAAAATTGGATCTGGTTGCGCATTATTTTGTTTTGAAATACCATACAAAATATCAATTCCATTTTAAATGTGAATTCAACTATATTAATGTCTGAACTAGAATTCAATGATTTTGTGTGGTCTTTTGCAAAAATTACAATATTGACCTGAGGATTCCGTGCAAAAATGGCAGATGGTCATTGACATAGAGGGCAACTATTGATTTGTGTTCGTTAATGAGAGACTACATGTAAATGTTCAAAGAGTTGAGTCTTCATGTACGCTATAATCAATCTTTCATATAGATTGATGAAAATGACGAGATGAGAATGTATTTAATTTGTAAAAATATGGGGATGAAAATTTCAAATTGTTAATTAGTTGTCAGCATTTGACATGAAATCTAGCCCGTAATGTAATTAAAATGTATATTTTCCTTAAAAGTATTAATTTCCTTCCAGCTTAATTACTTAATTAAAGAGTCAAGATGTCAATATTTTTTTTTTTCAAACTTTCGTTAATTTCATTCCTGGAATCAACGAAAAAAATCAACAGCATCTGGCTCAAAAACATGTTTTTTTAGTTAATAAAAGATATTGATATCAGCGACATGGGGTTATATCGAATCCTTTAATTCCTTAATCAACTTGATTAATGATACATTGCGCACTGATGAATTCCTTGGGAGATTTTTATCATCGATCATATTTCGGTTTCTAGAGTTTTTGTGTTGACATTCCCAGATTGAATTCGATCTAAGATAACCAGATAACGCAGATCAATACGAAAACAAATATATAAAAAATGGTCCTATTAGGCTTCCACAAGGAATAATATTCCATGCTACAAATTTCATGCAAACATACAAAAAAGGGGAAAAAAACATTTCCCCGAATTATGCAGTTTATTTTTGACATATAACAGAAAAAAAAAACAAGAAAAAAAATCTTACTTACGTCCAATACTAGATTTGTGAGATAGAGTATCAGACTCCAATTACTTATATCCTTCAAAATTGGACTTACATGAAGAAAAAATTTGAATATTTAACAAACGGTAGAGTTTAATCTTATATATGTAAGATGCTTTATTTTGAAACAGAATGTAACGTATTACATAAATTTTAAATTGAAAAATGTAACTTCCAATCAAACAGAATTAACAAACCTTCCAAGTGGAATTCTAAATAATTTTACAAACCAAGACGTGTCCATTATACCTCCAAAATTGTTTTATTTTCTGTGTTTGTAAATTCAAATCAAAGTTAACATTTGTATTTTCCATTTATATTACAAAAATTAAAAGATCACTAGATTTATTATCATTTTAACAATTCGATGCTTTCTGCGCTATAATGTTTGGAGTAAAGAAAATTTCGTCCCCATTCTCCATTTAAAATGGTTCAACTACTTAAATACCTATTCTATATTGACGCTTTGTTCTTTATTTGACGACTTTTGTTCTTTAATAAACAGTTTATTTCTTGAAACGATCAAGGTAGTCCAATAAGGTACCTGTAATTTTCCAATAAGTCATGAAATATGTCCATTATGAAAATTATTGGACAGTACATGTATTTAACACAGCGCAGACACAATTTGAAGAACAAAAGATGGCGTCATACTAATGTTTGAAACTACTCCGCATTTCGGGAATCAGCTACATTGTACAATGTAGTATAGGTATTTAAAGTAGTGAGCCCTATATATTGATCAGATAGAGTAGTCTTTAGTCAAATTTAGTATTAAAATAATGACCTAACACATGCTATGAAATACAACCCAATGATAGGTTGTATTTACAAACAAGGTAATTATAACGACCATAGAATTTCCAAAAAGCTGATTTAACGGGTTTGTTGAAATCCTGTAACATCAACTTATTTGTCAGTAACTTGCTTTGGCTTAAAATTGATCGTGCTCAGAGCAAGGTCTTGCTAATTGAATCAGTAGGGGGATATAAACACCATATGCAGGTGTTGTTGGAATATTACTACATGAATAAGGGAAGGACGATGGAAAAGCTGAAGTCATCCCGTTTGTCATACAGTATAGTTATTAGTTTGCCATTATCATCTATACTCAGCAAAACATCCAAATAATTAAGAAACAGATGTGGCAGACTCTGTAGTGTCTTTTAGTGCCATAGGAATATATAAACCGGTCGACTAACAAAGGAGCATAATAGGTGCCCATCGAAATTTCAACAGATTGTTGGAAGATCTGGTCTCCAAAGACTACATATATACTTATTAATAATTTTAATGAATGTAACTGAGTTTTTTTTTTCCATTCTAGACAACCCATTTATCTAGGACATTCCACAAAGAATACAATGCATTATTTAGATAAAGGTTATAGGCCGCTACTTAAAACATTTACTCTTTTGTGTTCATAACATACTCTTTGAATTAAATAGAACATATTTTATTGTAATATATATACAATGGTATTGGGCAAAAGTTCTTAAAACTTATTTCGCCCTCTCCCTAAATGAGAAGTCCATTATACATACTCTTTCTCCTTTTCAAGTCAACATCCATTGCATTAGATAAATAATTAAAATAAAGCATCTTTTCTTCTCACAGAATGGACGGTTTTTGGCCTATAACCTTTACATAAATACTTTTGTCTTTTTTTATAATATCGGACTGTCTCAAGTAAATCAAAAAATAAAATTTAAATATAGTTCTGTATACAGTTCAGCATGAAAAAATGTCAAAGTTTTCGTCCTAACGGCCTCAAACTGATACTTTTTCATACAGATATCCAATACGTATACAAATTCTTAGCATTCTTAGATGTTCTTTCTTGGACGTGCATTGCTAAACATTTCTATTTTAGCAAGGGTATTCACATCAAAAGCAGGGAGCTTCACAATATTATGATACTTCTTTTATTCTCCTTAAAGAATACAATTCTGAAGTGTACAACAGAGGCTTCCTCCTTTAGGTGACTTCTTTGCATTCCAATAAATAACCATTACATGCAGATTAATACATCCAGATAGCAAAGTTTTGGTATCTTAAAAACTTCATTGTTCGACCCAAGGAAGGATATTAGCGTCAAATATGACAACAGAGTGGTCCTTTTAACGATGTTTCGTTATCTGGAGATGATTTCCATCATCTTGGGGTTGTTCTATTGTTTCCTTGTTCAATATGTGTGTATAAAAATAGTATTAAAACCAAGCAAAGATTCGCATCCATTTCTTGTGTTAACATAAATTTGAGTTTAATTATGATCATGCCTTCAATACGTTTATTGTTTTCATTTATTAATTGTTCAAATGGGAAACGTCTCTGGAATTGTTGATGTTGTTGTTGTTTTTTTTTTTCATTTAAAAGAAATTATTTTTATAATCACAAGTTAGCATCTCGAATTTTCAAGTTTATAATTTGAATAATGGTTCAAACATATCAAAATGAAAAATGGATTGGAAGAAAAATTCTCTTTCAACTTACTAGCTTCTTTCCAGATTTCAGGCAGAATGTGTACATTTGATTTGCTATAGATAAATTAAATTTAAGTGTTTATACTTTAGCGAGATAAAATATTTCAATTACTCGCAAGATATCATTTTTCTTGTACCAATCATACAATCAGTTATAAGTATCTATACATGTGTAGTTATTAAACACGTGAACTTTATTTTTGTGTCCATACAACCTGCGTTATTTTCAAACGAGAAGTTGTCAATCGCTGTCTATAAATACGCATGAATAAACATTGTTCAAATCTTACAATGTGCAAAATTAAAGCAAATGGTGGTAATCTAACATGTGACAAGTGTGATGCATCGTGAAACTGAAACTGTCTCTATCCTTTTTCCACACTTATGACACGTACGGATTTAACTGACCTGTTATAATACATGTAACTTATTACGAAACTAGAAATTTATATTGTGAGCTTGACAATTCCGTCTGATTGTTAAAATCAATACACATTTTCAAATTATCTGCAAAAAACACAGTCAAGATTTAATTGATATGCAAGATCAAACCGAGGGTTACAAAGTTTGGACACGGATACTTACTTGAGCCAGGATCAGTGCACACATTTTGGTCATTGGCAACATATATTTCGTGACAGAACAACAGACAGGCATGCCAAAAATATGTCACTTTCAGTTGGAAATGTATGCTTAATACTTCCTAATAATACATATGAAATATGCAATCTTTGATTATTAATGCAAGTAGAGTATATTTCCTATTTTCAAAAATCATTCATTGTCTATTTTACAACGCAATTTAGCAAGACAATGTTATTGTGATTGAACAGAATTCTAATCCATATCGTTCTATGTTAAATTTTCTCTTTCCTCGCCAAAATCTTTGGAAGATAGAGTTTTATTTAATGAAAACTATTTATAATTACAAAATGTGGAAAATAATATGATGTAATTTTACATCATATCATATAATTATTATAATGATTATGACATAATTTGTTGTTGCTACTGTCAAAAAAATCATGCATTCTGAGAAACGTTCACTGCATAAATTTATTCTTCATTACTGTAACTATGAACGAAAGAAGAGTTCTAAACAAGTACAGATAAGAACAGAAATGGGTCTGACAATTCAATACTTCGAACACGTGCATACTACTTAGCAGAA